AATTGCCTTTTAATTTTTGCTAGGCAAGACAGTTGTGGGCAAACTGCTAACAAGAGATCCCAGGGGGTCTTTGTGACCACCATTGTTTGATCTTTATTTGCTCTTTGAAAATTGGATCTTTTCCCTTCTTTCCTCTTCTCTGTTTTTGCTCTTAATGATAAGACATTTAAACATTCCTTTTGAGAAATAGCAATGATATCTGCCAAATCCAAAATGGCCGTCTGGAAGCCAATTTTGTTTCTTCTGATCAGTTCCAAAATCAAACGAGCAAAAGGAGAGACCAAAGGGAAGACTACATATGAAATTTGAAAGATATCTATTGAGTGCTTCTTAAGAAATAGCAATAACAATCTTTACTTGGCAAAATCCAAGATGGCTGTCTGTTTGTCATTTTGTTTTTCTAGTCAGTCCCAAACTCAAACAGGCTCAACAAGGGCCCTAAAGGATCCTATACATGGAATTTGAAAAAGATCTATAGAGTAGTTCTCAAGAAATAGCAATAACAACCTTTCAAAGTCAAAATCCAAGATGGCCGCTTGTGGGCAATTTTTTTTCCCTGATCAGTATTAAAATTAAACAGGCACAACATTAGAGACCAAGGGGAACATACTAGTGAAATTTGAGAGAGATCCATCTTTTACTATTCAAGAAATAGCAATTACAAACGTCACTGAGAAAATCCAAGATGGATGCCTGTCCACAATTTTTTTTTTGTCAGTCCCAAAACCAAATGGGCACAACTAGGGACTAAAGGGAACCTACATATGCAATTTGAGAAAGATCCATCCAGTACTTCTTAAGAATTAGCCATAACAAATGTTTTTAAATACAAACGGATGACAGACCGTGGTGGCAGAGTGACGTTAATAGCCCACCATCTAATAAGAAAACATGGTAAAAACTGGTTTTGGTCCAAGGTTTTAAAGATAAAATGAAGTAGCTGGCAAATCAGTGTTGAAACTTTTATTGACAAATGTTCAAATCTGGTCCCAGGAATGACACAAAGTCTACACTGAAGAACCACACAGTACAAATTCATATCAATTCTACACATTATACAAAGTCAAAACATTCAAGTTGGTATAAAACAAGTCTAATGACTAAAAATACACTAAAGGGTTTTTAACACATAATGACATTATAATCACTTGTCAGACAAGGATTTGACCTTTTGGAGGAATGCATGTTCAGCACAACCGGGTTAAAAAGAATTGCATGTAAATGAGCAGGGGGAAACAATTAGTTATTCCACTCTTTTCACACACATTTATGGATTTACAACAACAGATAGAAAATATGTTACTAGATGTTATATGTTAGTACTTTCAGGATGATATCTAGTATTTCTGGGCTTAATGTGTTGTCACAGGATAACAAAAGGTAAAGGCTGGTAAAGGCAACACACTTAATTGAGTTGTCTCCCTTCCTCTGTCTACGCAGAATTGCTAGTCCATTATAAACAAGATACACAAATAAGATAAAGCTGAATGCTGTGAAACACTTTTTCTGTCAAAAATAGAATTACTTCATCTTGCTTTATCATGTAAAAACTGAGTTGGTGTTGGATTCAAATGCCCCAGCATAAGGCGGGACATTTTTCACCTCCTTTACTGCTGTAGATTTTGTTTGTTAAGTCTTACAAGATAAAGAGGATTCCTAACAGCTTAAGCTGCAGTATTAACACAGTTGAAAACTATGTACAATAATGTGAAGAAAATGTAAATTTTGAATTAATTCTCCATCTGAGGTCTTTTACATGCTTTCATAGGTGGAAATTAAAAGCAGATTCCAATTCACCTCGTGATATGGAACCTGTTTAGAAATGAGTGAGAGGTCACTTATGTTTGAGCCCAAGCATAGACATAGAAGATTTTTTTTCCTTCAGCAAAACATCTCAGAGATGAAAATACCCTTACTTCTCTACAAATGAGTATCTGTGTTTGTCAAATTTCCATAAATGGTAACTGTGACCTTCACATTTGTGAAAGTGAAACAGATGTACTTTTCAGAACATCCTGCCAGGATATAAAGCACCTTAGAAAGTTTATGATATGACCTTCCAAACTTTAGGGGTAAAGACAAATTCTATGAGGGTCATTGTATATGACAGTTGGACGCACCTCAATACTACACCAGCATCACAGCACATTCAGTTTTGACAAAGCATCTTGTTAATGGGATTTACAACACCAGGATTTCTGGACAGAGTGCTGTTTTAATACTCTGTCCATATTTTCACATGTCTATGTTACACCATCAGATATCAACACAGTCCTGTGTACTCAGTCCATATCTTCACATGTCTATGTTACACCATCAGATATCAACACAGTCCTGTGTACTCAGTCCATATCTTCACATGTCTATGTTACACCATCAGATATCAACACAGTCCTGTGTACTCAGTCCATATCTTCACATGTCTATGTTACACCATCAGATATCAACACAGTCCTGTGTACTCCGTCCATATCTTTGCATGTTTATGTTACACCATCAGATATCAAAACAGTCCTGTGTACTCCGTCCATATCTTTGCATGTTTATGTCACAACAATCAGATATTTCAAACAATCTGTTCAACACACTATGAAGCTAAACACACACAAGAATAATGAGGAAAGCATGAAAATGAATACCATAAAAACCAGGTTAAATGTTTTTACTTCAAGTGTCTAGAGACCTTATGGAACAGTAATTAAGTCGGGGTTGGAGTCAACAGGAACAGTCAAAGGATATGTATACTGCCCAAGAGTACAATTTCTCCATACGTTTCACAAATAACGTGCTAACACTTTGTGTTTCAAACACTACAAAACATTATTTTATAAACACTGCTAAACTATTTGAACTTTGAAGGACTAGTTGTGGTTAGTTTACCTTGTAAATAACACATCGTTATTGGTGGAATCACAGCCAGGTAAGCTCCTGGTTTAAATAACACCGCTATAACAGGTTCACATATATGTATCCACAAAGAGGCCATAGAGGCAAGCATTACATAACTTGATATGTATTTCGTTTTTGTCAGGCAGAGTAGGCTGGATAATTTTACATATGATCATCAAATTTTGATCAGATGTTAAATTGTTGACAGTGGTGTTGCTTCAGGCACTGACTCTCCACCAAGCCTGTAGCATAATTACAGTTTCCTCCTCAAGACTAGCAACTGGTCTTAAAGATGGGGTCATCACTGAATGCCATAGGAAATCCTACTTATGTGCCAAGCAGTTTGGTTAAGGGAAGTAATCTCAGTTTTACCACTTTTGTAACCCATTAATTAGATATCTTTTATAACCCATTAATTAGATAACCAGACGTTAGACAAGGTGAACCAGTGGTCTGATAACATAATTATGTTTGCTCCTCATATCAAGGAATACTGTACATACCAAGGATGGTTATACTGTGTATAACAAATCAAAAGGAATATTATTCTCAAAAGTAAGAATGCTGTGAATTCATTCCCCTTCTCCATGACCCCAAAAAGTGCCTTATGTCTCATTTAAATGATGCTGAATTCTTTTAGTAGACAAATGTCAATTCAGACATTGTGTTATACAATCTCTCTTCACACAATGAAGGAGAAGTATTATTTTTCATATACATGAGTCTTCTTCACTAAAGTATGCTCTAGATCCAATCTGGTTAGAATCCATTTATCTGTAAAGACAAGGGTTTTAAAGCTGTAGATCTATTTCCCGTATCAGAACCCTGCCCTCATGGTGGCTCAAACAAATGACTGTTGAAAACAGTGACCCCTTAATCCATCAAAAATACAGCAGAACAACTGACTGTTCAAAATTCATTACTCTGGACTACATGTAGCTAATAGGGACAGTGGATAAACCGTAACTGGATGGAAGGACAGATGATGGGACCACGGCCACAACATAAACTCCTTTCGACCAGGTACACTAAAAATTGGTCATGGATATTGGTACTAGGCAGAAATACCATGAGGCCCATGAGCCTTGTATAACTTACCTTGTTATCTTTGATATTTGTCAAGGAATGTTTTTTTCCTGACAGAAACATTATAAAATTTATAAAGCATAGTAATGTATGGTTGAATTCTGACCTATAAAATGAGTTTACTTTTATGTGTCAAAAATATACCTCCCAAGTAAGAATAGAGCTTATCATTTATGTCAAAAATATTAATTGCAATATGAACACTTATAACACAGTTACACAGCTTTTCTTAACTACTTCATCAACCTCAGGTTTTACTACCATACACATAAAACAAAGAACTTTACGGCAAAAACAATTGTTTTGTCTTTTTGGAAATGTTAACTGATTTGAATTCACAAGCAGATAACATTTGTTTCCTAAATCAGATGCCAGCCTTGATCAAACTTTACCAAATAATCTTTACAAACTGAGCATAAAAAGTACACACACAAAAAACGTTACTCATACTTAAATGACCTTGCAGGTCATTAATGAACTTAAGTCCATGCTTACACGTACAGTTATGATTATGTATGCAATAAGAAAACTGAGATGATTTTTAAAAAGTCAGTTTTAATGTTTCTTTTAAAAGTTTCTTGTAAAGTATTGAAATAAAATATTATATATATATTTTCCCACATCTTTAAATACAACAGGACATTACCTATTATGATAGTGACAATTTCAACTTCATTTTCATAAAATGTTTCTCGGAATTGAATACCGTTTACTTAAAAAATAATTATTTAATTTAATTTTGCATATTTGAACCTTGTCTGTATGTGTATAATTACCAAGTAAGTCAAGAAATACTGCAATTTAAGCTTTAATAATATCTCAAGAAAGTATTTAGCATATAAAAAATGTTGAGATCTTAAAAAGCAAAAATCACTTTGTTTCATTATCAAACTTGTGAAAATAATTGTAAACAGTTCATGTGCTTGACTTTTGACGAACATCAGGATCCTGAACAAATTGGTGTATTAAAGTCACTGGTATGTTTCGTGGGATGAGGTGTTAAATGGTTGCTAGTTACACCTACGTCAGAGTGGAGCTAACGGGTGCCAGCGAGCTGTCGCGCTCTTACATGATATCAAATCATTCCAGTGGACCCGCTCATCTCCCTCTGAATCATTTCCAATCTTAATACGCCCGATAAGATTGTCATTTCCGAGCTTGTTTTCATGGCACACAAGTATTTCCATGGAAAGATGGCGCAGTGTTTCGCGACTCACACTAAACACCAGAGCTTCATTCCATGTTGGGTTCTGAGATTGGTGGACTACAGATGTCTTCTTTTTTTTCACTCGTTTACCCTTGTGGAGTATGGACACCTTCACATAAGTATCTGTAAAATATAACACAAACATTTCAGGAATATTTAATGATTTTAAAGTCTATTAAATCCATGTTGGAATGGTCAAAATAAATTGTATCTGAAAATGTTCCAACACTTGCGAACCATCTACAAACTACAAAACATCTGTGTCACATATCACATGCATAAGAACTTTGAATTATGCGAGCACGGTAGAAAGTCGTGTACCGGATATTTATTTGGAAACGAGGGGAGGACATTCGAATATGGGACACTAGCAGGTGCATTGTAACAGTGGCCGGTTAATAAACGTAAATACGGGAATAACACCAACGGAAACCGCAGCTTTCGGTGAGTGCCATACCCGTTAAAGGTTTATATATGTATTGTTAAATTCATGAGTTATTTTATCCATTTTGCTGTGAGATAAACAGCCGTAAACAGTGTCATTACCTGTTCTATTTATAGAGTCGCAACTGTACTGTACAGGTGTATACACGTGTTAGCAGGTGCGCGTTTGTTATTGTTAGCTAGTAAGGAAGTGACTCTACATCTGTATGTTCAAGGAGTGATACGGCATAATATGTAACATTATAACAAACCCAATTGTAGTTAAGTAATTACTGTTTATAAGCTGGAATAATTTTGAATAATTATAAAAAGTTTCGTAGAGTGGTTACATCTATTGTGGCTTATGGTATTACACGCAAAACGGGTTACGTTGTAGCGTTGCTAGTGTTCCTTAAAGACGGTTACTGCAATTTACTCAGAATAATAGGGAATAAGTTTGTGATTAGTGGATGTCAATTATATTGTAGTTTAACCCGATATTGTTGGTGCTGGTGGGGTCTCACATTGACGTTTCCAGAGTGTTAAGGACCGGTGGCCGATGCTATTGACCGGTGAGGTAGACCAAGGTCCATACAGTCCTCCAACTGGGGATGGTTATTTGGGATGATTGTCCAACCCTTGAGTCTGTTGATGTAGGATTCGTCTTCGGCTTGGGAGGGTTAAGGTTGTGGAGTACCTGGAGTAGCTATGGTAGCTAGGGACTCAGTACACCGAAAGTGGAACTCAGCCCACTAGTAAGTGTGAGGACGTTTGGCCGTCAGTGTGCAACATGGTGGATTACTGCCCACTTGCATTGTGATCTGAGACAGTAGTGTTCATTGTTTGACTGTTTTATAGAAAGTGTGGACCACAGCCCATCTTTACCAGTGTTATTGTGTATTTTGTTGTGTTGTAGCAATTGTAAATAAATATATGTACAGGTATGCAAAGGAACAAGTGTCAGTTATATATTGTCAGCATCAACACAAAACTGCTCTTCCCGTTAAGAAATGGATGCCCTTACTCTCGTCCATTGTAGATGCGACCTTTAACCTTGACCCATGACCACCTTAATATGATATAATGGGTTAAATGTGAACCATACCTAATGAGAGGTTTTCAAGATAAGACATTGATTTGGGACATGAAAGGACAGGAGGGGACAGTCAGTTCATACAGACATGGGTTACACTATATGACCCCTATAAATAACAGCTTTATATAAGACAAGGAATTTTTCATCACTGCAGTTCAACAATATTCAGAATCCAAATCCTACTGGAATAAAGAATCACTTGTCTACCTGTGACCATGTCTGTGTAATTTGAACTCAATCTTTTCATGTCCAATACTCTAATGTTCCTCATAGCTATATATAATTAGCACTAATGTTTTATCATCCTAACATAGTCACTTTTTATTTTGCTTTTTATGTTGTAACTCAAAAAAATCACACTTTTCATTGCTTCCTTCCTGAACACCAGATTTTATTATCCTAGCCTTTCATTTGTTGATATTTTAAATTTTTAATTGATTATTTTTTAATTGATTATTAACTGAAATTTTAAGATTAGGATTTTTGTAAACATGTCTCTGTTAACTTTGTTAAATTGTAATGTTGAAGTTAAGCTTTTGATGGCTTTTGAAATAGCAACATATTCACTTTTAAAATACTTTCAACAAAATACCTTTCACCTCCTATAATGTGAAATATTTATATAACATTGTCTCCCACTCACCCAAAAGTTTCCCTTCCTCAAGATGGCGGAGGTTCCTGGCCTTGGTAACCACGACTGTCAGACGCTCCGCACTAGACAAGAATGTCATGGAGAACATGAGATCACCATAATCCTTCTGCTGGAATACAAAAATAGTGTTAGCATTTAGAAGTGGTTATCAGGAGAGTTATGGATCTTAATGGAACACTGAACTTTTCTTTGAGGAATGCAGAAATAAAAACTGATCTGTTTTTCTGTACATGTAATATGTATTAGAAAGACATGAATATCTGGTGTTGTTGTTGCAGCTTTTTCACTTGTTGGTTGTTTGAAACCCTAATGTTTGCTCACACATAATCTTCAGCTAATGTAATTGTGGTAAATTTAGTGACAAATACCATTAATGCTGAATTATTTCCGATTTTAAAGTAAAATTTTTTCAGATGCAACATTTCAGATCAATAAATGGTTGCTGAGTCTGAAAAATGCCTTCATCTGTGTACTGTATCAACCATCGTATGAAAACATATCACAAATTTCCCAACTGAGGCATTACCAAATATTGGTAAATCACGAAGAATTAAGTCAGAGATGATAAACAATGATTATTGTATGCTCCAGCAAAATCAATCACACTAAATTTATTCTATTGTGAAAAATGATTAAGCCAAGAAAACAAAATTGTTGGTTTACAGACAAAGAAGTTATAAGACTGTCATACAGCAATGTTGGCCGAAAATAAATCTTATCATTTTATCGAATGTGAAGTTTACGATAATTAGTAAATACATAAATCTTTAAAAATTATGTGTGACAATAACGCTTAAAGTTGACTATGCTCAGGAAATTGAGCTGTAAGTGATTCGTAGTACATTGAAGTTATCATGTTTTGTTGTTCTGATGATGGTTGGCCTTGAGATGAAACATGTAAATATATCTTTCATTATATTTGGGTCTACAAAGAACCTATCATGTTTCTTTGTTTGCATATTAAGATAATTTCAAAAAGAAGGAGCCAACGTCAGGAGTAAGTAAAAGGGTGTTAGGTGGATACATTGCTGTGAGTATGAATACCCTAAAGGTATGCTGGGCGTTTAATCAAAGACTAAGAAGTATATACGAAGAGGCTATTAATCACAGCATACTTATGCGTTATCGATTAAGAGGGTGTTGACTTTATTGTTGACTAGTTTCGCTTCTGTCGCAGAGGCTTCTTGGACCTCTGTGACAGAGGCAAAACTGGTCGACAATAAAGTCAACACCCTCTTAATCAGTACGTGAGTATGTTGTGATTAATAGCATCTTCGCACATACATATTAAGATTAGCAATATCTGTTCATACTTTGACAAGATTGATTCAGATTTCCATCCCGAAAAGGTACACAAAATGTATCTTATTTTCATACATTACAAGATTTATTTGTTAGAGGTAAAATCCTTAAAAAGAACAAATAATACAAAAAACTCTAGAAATAAAATTAAACAGCATAATCTTACAGACTAAATCGAGAAAACAGGTCTAGGACATTGACAATAATGTTGTATTTGTGTGTACTTACGTCTTTACTTTTAGACCTTTCTACTGGCGAAATGCCTTTCCATAGGAAGGCTGGCTCCTGCAGATCAACACAGTCGAGGAGAAGTTTGACCTGGCCGATACTCTCGTGTCGTGAAAACTGATCATAGTCCAGCAGCAGAATCTCAAGGGAGCAGAAAGGCAGCTTATGAGGTGAAACATCAAAGATAAACTCCTCATCAAATTTAGGGTTTACAGTCTTATTGTGGACCTTGGTCTGGAGCTGGCTTCGATGAGAGGGTAGGAGAGACACTTTACAGTAAGGGTCAAGGTTACCACAGAGGTCACGAGGGGTCAGATCAGAAGCCTGGATAATGTTGACTGTAAGGAGATGTGTCTCTTTATTATACGTAAGGCTGAAGTTGACTGATCCAAGGTTTTCTTCTTCTCGACTCAGGGGCAATGAGTGCTGGCGTTGTAATGTATGCTGAAATGACATAACAACATTCGTAGCATATTAGATATTGTGTGTGGTTTGGCTGAACTACCATCAAATAACAGTCAAGATCAAGTGGTACTATACAGTATATTTATCTATAATAGCAGTCAAGATCAAGTGGTACTATAATAGCAGTACAGTATACAGTTATTTATCTATAATAGCAGTCAAGATCAAGTGGTACTATACAGCATATTTATCTATAATAGCAGTCAAGATCAAGTGGTACTGTACAGTATATTTATCTATAATAGCAGTCAAGATCAAGTGGTACTGTACAGTATATTTATCTATAATAGCAGTCAAGATCAAGTGGTACTATACAGTATATTTATCTATAATAGCAGTCAAGATCAAGTGGTACTATACAGTATATTTATCTATAATAGCAGTCAAGATCAAGTGGTACTGTACAGTATGGTATTTATCTATAATAGCAGTCAAGATCAAGTGATACTATACAGTATATTTATCTATAATAGCAGTCAAGATCAAGTGGTACTGTACAGTATATTTATCTATAATAGCAGTCAAGATCAAGTGGTACTGTACAGTATGGTATTTATCTAGCAATAATTGTAAACGTACATTGTTTTTTTCCTTTACAAAATTGTGCTAAAATATTATTGTAGTTTTTATGGGGATGATATAGTGATTATTGTGAATACACAATTTTATCATTGCATTAATATGCTAAAAAGTAATTATGCTATAACATAATAAAGTGATTGTGCAATATTAATTATTTTTACAGATTACTTAGGGAGTGGGGTAACATATACCTAAGCTGGAGAGCTATAAATGTAGATAAGCTTTAAGGAAAGGGTTTATTGTGCAATAAATAAAGTATTCATCCACATTATCAATAAACAATATATATGTATTTTGTAAGTATATATCCACTTTATCATGAAACAATAAATATGTATTTTGTAAGTATATATCCACTTTATCATGAAACAATAAATATGTATTTTGTAAGTATATATCCACTTTATCATGAAACAATAAATATGTATTTTGTAAGTATATATCCACTTTATCATGAAACAATAAATATGTATTTTGTAAGTATATATCCACTTTATCATGAAACAATAAATATGTATTTTGTAAGTATATATCCACATTATCAATAAACAATAAATATGTATTTTGTAAGTATATATCCACATTATCAATAAACAATAAATATGTATTTTGTAAGTATATATCCACTTTATCATGAAACAATAAATATGTATTTTGTAAGTATATATCCACTTTATCATGAAACAATAAATATGTATTTTGTAAGTATATATCCACATTATCATTAAACAATATCCACTTTATCAATAAACAATAAATATGTATTTTGTAAGTATATATCCACATCATGAAACAATAAATATGTATTTTGTAAGTATATATCCACTTTATCAATAAACAATAAATATGTATTTTGTAAGTATATATCCACATCATGAAACAATAAATATGTATTTTGTAAGTATATATCCACTTTATCAATAAACAATAAATATGTATTTTGTAAGTATATATCCACTTTATCATTAAACAATATCCACTTTATCAATAAACAATAAATATGTATTTTGTAAGTATATATCCACATTATCATTAAACAATATCCACTTTATCAATAAACAATAAATATGTATTTTGTAAGTATATATCCACTTTATCATTAAACAATATCCACTTTATCAATAAACAATAAATATGTATTTTGTAAGTATATATCCACATTATCATTAAACAATATCCACTTTATCAATAAACAATAAATATGTATTTTGTAAGTATATATCCACTTTATCAATAAACAATAGATATGCATTTTGTAAGTATATATCCACTTTATCAATAAACAATAAATATGTATTTTGTAAGTATATATCCACTTTATCATGAAACAATAAATATGTATTTTGTAAGTATATATCCACATCATGAAACAATAAATATGTATTTTGTAAGTATATATCCACTTTATCAATAAACAATAAATATGTATTTTGTAAGTATATATCCACTTTATCAATAAACAATAAATATGTATTTTGTAAGTATATATCCACATTATCATTAAACAATATCCACTTTATCAATAAACAATAAATATGTATTTTGTAAGTATATATCCACATCATGAAACAATAAATATGTATTTTGTAAGTATATATCCACTTTATCAATAAACAATAAATATGTATTTTGTAAGTATATATCCACTTTATCAATAAACAATAAATATGTATTTTGTAAGTATATATCCACTTTATCAATAAACAATATATATGTATTTTGTAAGTATATATCCACTTTATCATGAAACAATAAATATGTATTTTGTAAGTATATATCCACTTTATCATGAAACAATAAATATGTATTTTGTAAGTATATATCCACTTTATCATGAAACAATAAATATGTATTTTGTAAGTATATATCCACTTTATCATGAAACAATAAATATGTATTTTGTAAGTATATATCCACTTTATCATGAAACAATAAATATGTATTTTGTAAGTATATATCCACTTTATCATGAAACAATAAATATGTATTTTGTAAGTATATATCCACATTATCAATAAACAATAAATATGTATTTTGTAAGTATATATCCACTTTATCATGAAACAATAAATATGTATTTTGTAAGTATATATCCACTTTATCATGAAACAATAAATATGTATTTTGTAAGTATATATCCACTTTATCAATAAACAATAAATATGTATTTTGTAAGTATATATCCACTTTATCAATAAACAATAAATATGTATTTTGTAAGTATATATCCACTTTATCATGAAACAATAAATATGTATTTTGTAAGTATATATCCACATCATGAAACAATAAATATGTATTTTGTAAGTATATATCCACATCATGAAACAATAAATATGTATTTTGTAAGTATATATCCACATCATGAAACAATAAATATGTATTTTGTAAGTATATATCCACTTTATCATAAAACAATAAATATGTATTTTGTAAGTATATATCCACATTATCAATAAACAATATATATGTATTTTGTAAGTATATATCCACTTTATCATGAAACAATAAATATGTATTTTGTAAGTATATACCCACTTTATCATGAAACAATAAATATGTATTTTGTAAGTATATATCCACTTTATCATTAAACAATACATATGTATTTTGTAAGTATATATCCACTTTATCATTAAACAATACATATGTATTTTGTAAGTATATATCCACTTTATCATGAAACAATAAATATGTATTTTGTAAGTATATATCCACTTTATCATGAAACAATAAATATGTATTTTGTAAGTATATATCCACTTTATCATGAAACAATAAATATGTATTTTGTAAGTATATATCCACATCATGAAACAATAAATATGTATTTTGTAAGTATATATCCACATCATGAAACAATAAATATGTATTTTGTAAGTATATATCCACTTTATCATTAAACAATAAATATGTATTTTGTAAGTATATATCCACATTATCAATAAACAATATATATGTATTTTGTAAGTATATATCCACTTTATCATGAAACAATAAATATGTATTTTGTAAGTATATATCCACTTTATCATGAAACAATAAATATGTATTTTGTAAGTATATATCCACTTTATCATTAAACAATACATATGTATTTTGTAAGTATATATCCACTTTATCATTAAACAATACATATGTATTTTGTAAGTATATATCCACTTTATCAATAAACAATAAATATGTATTTTGTAAGTATATATCCACTTTATCATGAAACAATAAATATGTATTTCATAAGTTTGGGACTGACTATTATTTGTTTCCATATTTATTAATTATGTCAATGTTTTAATGACATTTTTTGTACGTCAATGTTTTAATGACTTTTTTCCTATTAAATGCTTTAAAATTGGTCTTTCAGTCAATTTGTTGTATAGCAATATATTAGAACAACTAATGAACACTTATGATTCTGCATAAATGATTAATGTAAATCACATTCATTATTTATCCAAACAATTTATGTATTTTTTTTCCATTAATTAACATATAGAGTAACAGATAGTTAGGTAGAAAAAATTCTAATTTCTTTCATGTCGAGGTCAAATACTTTTTTCTACAGATAAGAAATATAAGAAGCCTTTCAGATGAACCCAGTGTTGTCCTTAATGTTGCTTAGTATCCTGTCCGACTGAAAGAATTGATCCAACTACATCAGATAAGGCTCAGGTCTGGAATTGTGATTAGCTTAAGTACAAAATAAAAATGTCATTCCAGGAAAAGTCATAAAGAGGACAACAATGAATTGTTTCCACGGAAATGTCTAAATTGCATAACTATATATGAATGTGATTGATTGATAAAGATGAAAAAGAAAAAAAACGAGTCTGTGGGTTGTGGTGTTAAGAGTGTCAATATAGGATTAAGCCAATGTGAATGGGAATGGAGATTTGTCAGGATTTGGCACGACACTCACATGCATATCTATTTACACACAGATTACAGTTAAATAATTCATCGCCGTCACTGACATCGTTTTTTGCCAGCTAATCGACGGTTACAACCAAAAGGATTTAAGCTGTAAATAGAGAATGAAGCCTGGCTCGCCATGACCAGCTTAAGTCTTAGTTGATCTGTACTACACTGTGAACACGAGGCTCCATCACACATCAACACTTTACCATCTTGGTAATTGATTTTGAAGATCAACTTGATCTTTCATTTAAGCACCAGAGAGAAAAGTAGAAAATAATGACGGTATCTAATCTCTGTGAATAAAACTTACATATCTGCAGCAATGCACACATATACGAATATATTTGATTACTTTAGCTGTCAGTCAACCAAAGTCATCTTTAGTTTTGGAGCAACATCAAGATTTAAATCAGTTGCAGTAGAAATAAGTAGAAAAAAATCCCTGCACTCTTAGTTGTATATGTAATAGAAATTTAAGA